TTTGTACGTTTGCCTGCCTGGTCCGTTTGGTAAGTAATACGGTGCAGCAACGTTGGATTTTTGTACCTACACGAGGTAATGTGCGGCATGTTGGTGGTGGTGCTGGGCTCTTTGGCTACTCACCTCCTTCTGAAGAAGCACAAGTCGAAGCAGGTGTGGAAGGGGGACGTTCAAGAAACTGGCTGACGGTCCAGGCATCTCAATTGCCTTGACCCTTCAAAGTGGCACGTTCCATAGGAATCCGTCACTAAATTCCAACTTGTAGAGGGGGACATCCGGGGACCAAAAATCACCCTTCAGTTGGACATTCGCCTTCATTGCCTTGAATGCGTTGCATGTGCAACTGTGGTTCTTGGCAGGTCTTGCTTGACAATGCACATAAGCGTCTAGAGTCTAGGCCTTTTTTTCCACCAACTGACTGGCACTCTCGCAAGGCCCAAGGCAAGTGAGAATCAATCGCCTTATCCGTATCAGTGCGATGTTGTTCGCGTGCTTGCTCCAAAATCGACACGAGCGAAGGGCCCGAGAAGCTGTCTTTTCCGCACTTGGCCCCTTGCACCAAAGAAAGGGACGTATTTCCAGACGTATTTCCTTCAATCACGAGAGCAATTTCCACATGTCCCTGGAACCAGGAAGCCTTCTGCCCCTGCCAGGCTCAGCCCGAGGAGCAGAAGCCTTTGATGGAGGAGCGGTTGATGAACATGGAACATTTGCTTAACGGAACCTAAATCTTCCGATTTTTCCCCGTTGTTTCTAACGGAACCGATTTCTACTGCAAGTACGCTATTTTTTCCAGGGGACTCTACTGCAAGTGGACGAAGAAATTCCTCCAACGATGTTTGTGGTGGGCCCTGAAAATTCTTCCTGCGGCAATGGATGCTGGCGACTGGTGAAAGGCGCTCCCTTTTCCGGGCAATGGGTCATGGGCGGATAGACGTTGCTGTGCCAGCCAAATCAGAGGCAGTCGATATTTCACGTGGCACCTCAGGTGCAACTTGCATGCAAGCGGCCGGCATGTTGATCCTCTATTAAACTCCGATGCGATTGCACTTGCACTGCTTGTTTGCCAGGTAGTTTGTGCCATTTTGGGCCTTGCTTCTCTTGTTTGTTCAAGGTGGGGGATGGCGCGCGAGCTTGTGCCAACGTCAGCGCCAGTGTTTTGGCACCCCACCCGAGCTGTGCGGGGCGGGCCAGCATGGCCCTTCGGGATGAGAGGTGCCCCCTCTCCCGTTCTCAGCCCCTTCAGAGCCGACCTGGAAGCAGCAGCCTGGTTTCAGATGGATCACTCCAGGATGCCGGTTTGACCAATGTCAATGTATGTACCAGATTGTAAGAGTTGGGGACCATCCACTATCAAACCGTAGGTGTGCGCTCACATCATTTGGCATCCAATGACATTGTGCTCCGTGCTAATTTACGGGGCTTGGGGCATTTGTTGTCTCAGACCCTCTTCCCCCGCATTCCTTGCTTGCAAGAGTGCATTGGTGGAAGGGTTGACTGAATCAGCACCAGTGATAATCTTGGCTGTTTCCTTCGGAGAATGCGGGGCGTTCCCAGTGGCGCCCGATGTGTCAAAAATCGCCAGGAGTCGGAGTCCCCGGCGGCGGAAGCGGCGGAAGCCCAGGGTTCGGCGGAAGAAGGCGGGGCCGGGCACTGGGAAGAGGGGAAAAGACGCCCTGGGTCTGTCTTTGTTTGAGGGTAACCTTCCTTGGGGTTGGTCTAAAAGAAAACCAAAGGACACCACCGATTTTGGGGTTGCGCTATTTTGGGGGTTCACAGTGTTTCCTCCTTGGAACCTCAAGTGGCAGTTTCAATGGAAACCACCAGTAACCTGCAACTTTTGAAGGGAAAATCCAAGTGCCTCCTATTTCAGCCTACCTCAAGGGGGACGAACTGATTTGACAGTGAAGCGTACGAGCGAATGGGCGGGCCACCAGCCAAGGCGGTTGAAGCCTCCAATCTGTGCATAGGTGCGCCAAATTTCTCAATTTCCGAGTTCTGACGTCCACCTCTTTTGCACTTTTGCGCGGGTGTACACGTGGAACAACCTTTTTCGGGCCCATTTAGCAAGCCAGTGGGTTCGTTATCATGATGGCTGTTAGGGATGGAAGCAAAAACCACTGTGCCTGTGCAAGAAAAGGCAATTTTAGATGTGCACGTGCACCCACTTGCCCTCCGAACCGGGCTCGCCCAACAGGCCTGCAATGCAAAGGTCTTTGGATTGTCAACCTTTGTGGCAACAAGTTGTCATGGTAAAAGGTGATCGCCTTTCATTTCTGGGTCCCAAACTCGCTGGTGACCAGTCCAGAATGTGGGAATGAAGAACCCAGGGTTCCCCTTAAAGGAACCACCAGTTGGATGGTTTTCTGCGGGTCATTCTAACTCTCATTCCTTGAGCACTAGCAAGCTAAGGCGCAAGCAAGTTGTTGAGAACCACACGTGTCTAGTTGCCCCCAGTCAGGTTCCATGGAGAGGGTGAGGGCCTCAGGTGAGGTTCCATGGAGAGGGTGAGGGGAACCAAAAGGAGACCCGGCCATCGGCCCCTCGGCCCCTCGGCTTCTCAGGCGCAGCGGCCTCGAGCCCCGAGCCGGCCTCGACTCCGGAAGCAAACCCGACGGAGGCGGTGCCAGCCAGCTCCCCGACTGCATCCTCGTCCGGGTACCCTTTCCTTGGCTCCAGCTTCAAGGAGCACAGAAAAACGAACAACCGCACATTCTTCAGGCTCCCCCAATTTTGAGACACCCTCATGCTGTTTCCTGGTGCATTTGGTAGGAGGTGGAAAGCTCGGCAGCAAAACCTTTTCGGATTTTCCGATGGGGTGGGCCGCGTGGAGCTCCTTTCAAAAGGGGCGCGGGATATTTTTCGGATTGGCAGCGATACAAGCGCGGATGGAGGGTTTCAGTCGAACATGGAGGCTCACTAGCATGGTTTGGGCGGTGCCTCAATTCACCAAGGCTGAGCGTCATCAAGCTGAGGGCCTTGGGTCAAACAGCCAAAGGCTCAGGGAGAAGCTGAGGCGCGCGCAAACAAACCTGACTGAACAGCAGCACTCAGACTTGTCTTCTGCATGTTAGGCAGGAACATCCAGCAACTTTCTTTGGTCAGGATTGCCTTGCGCACAGCACCGCATCATCAACATCTGCAGTGCCTTAGTTGCCAAGTGATGCAGCGCTTGACTGCAGGCAGGGAAATTTGGAAGTTGCAGGCTGTGGCATGCGACGGTGTAGCAAATCCGCAGATGAACCAATGTGTGCCGCTGCTCGGTAAACCAAGCAGTTGGCTGGTGCGAATGTAGCCATTTTACGTACAAGTTTCCACTGGACAAGGTGGATTTGCAGAGCAGGTGCAAAAGGGGCGAGCTGAAGTACGTCGGTGTGTGCTTTTTTGAGGGTGTCCTTGCCAGGTCCAGGTTGGTTTGTGCGAAACACCACAATTTGTGTGGCCCTCGAGTTGTGACACATACCCAGGTAACGTACTTGGGTGTTCGGCCAAGTTAATAGGTGGTTTGGTACCTTGGCTGTAACCTGCTTATGAGTGAGTTGGCCGGCTGCAACTAGGTTCTAACCGGAGTACTCAACACTTACTTGGCCGAGCACCCAAGTATGTTTGTGGAAGATTCAATTGGGCGCCATTTAGTTTCCGGAGCTCCGCTCGAGTGAGTAGCCAAAAGTCTTGATTGTCGAGGCTCTTGGGCCACTGCCAGCATAGGTGGGCGACATGAGGGACCCCATCCATCCAACACAGGTGTTTGCGCGGATGTAGCAAGGTTCCTATTCCGCTTGCTAGCGAAACAAAGGAACTCCCTAGTTTGAGAAACAGCTTAGATGCATTAATCGAGTGGATATCACTCGATCGAAGGCTCGGCAGTGGCTCGCCACCCTCGACTGGCTCGCAAAAACCAGTCGACCAGCTGCCTCAATTGAGGTTAGTGGAGCGGTGTCCCGGTTTCCCACAGATCTGTGATAGCAGGGCGTCGTTAGGGCTTTGCGATGTTTCGTTTTGCCGAACCTGCATCCCAACCGAACACGCATGCGAGAACGGCCCGATCCTCTACATTGGAAAGCGGCTTTGACAAACATTGCCAGGCGATGAGCGAGCGGGGAGCGGGGGCCAGAGGATGGCTGAGCTGCAGGGAGAAAAAGCAGCGCTTTGGCGTCGCCAGCCCAGCGGCAGTGCGCTTGAAGCCCGACAGGATTTGTAGGTGCTTCACTCATTCTGTTCAAATGAAGTGATGCTGATAATTACGCTGGTTCGCTGTCAGCATCCATAGAACCGCGCAAATGCCCCAATAACTCAGGGGTCAGTCCGTTCCTTTTTTCTTTGGGGGGTGGTAGTACTGCAGTGTCTGTTTTTGGCCCGGACCGTCTCACGTCTTATTCGTTTCACTATCCACCCCCAAAGCCAACGCCGGTTTCACATGCATGGCCCCGCAAAGCTTGCGAAGTGGGTACCCATCTTTAAATTCTTTAAGCACTCGAGGCCATCTTTCAGCTTTTGGCCCCCACTTTGGTGCCAGCGTTTGGTCCGCCCTTTCTGAAGCACGTGGCACGCTGGCTCCAGCGGAACGGAAGCTCCGAAGCTCCGCGCAGCACGCGGCGGCACGCGGCGCCTGGCGCACAAGTCGCGGCCATGGCGGAGCTGGCTCGATGGCAATGGGCGCCGCGCTGAGCTGGGGGGGGGGGTGATAGTTGATAGCATATAGGAGTACGCACATACGTACATACGTACATACATACATACATACATACATACATACATATTGTTTATAGTGCGCTCGCGCAAGTATCCGTCGGTCAACGCACGTATTTGCATCCCCCTAGTGACAGTGTAGATGTACATCATGTCTGCTGTTTGGACAAGTTCGGTTGTAGATGTCGAACTGTTGCATTTTATCACAGGGCCTGCAACCAAACCAAAAACAATTGGGATGGCATGACGTGTCAACACCAGGGACGCTTGGGTCTGTTTCACGGGACCAGAAACACGGCGGCCATTTAGAGGAGTCCTCACTTTTGGCACATAGCCAATTCCCTCGGAGGAGGATGCATGAGAATTGCTGCACTAGGGTTAGCGAACGAGGGAAGACCATGCACTGACCTGAATTAACAGAATACAGTTTGCTCAAAAGATGAGAGTGAACCCATGTGAGATGAAGGCCTTCCATCCAATCTACATTCCCTGGCCTGTCATCAGTTTCTGGAGTTCAACCAATTGGAAAGTTGGGTTCCAGCATGGTACAATTAATCCAATCAGATGCACTCAGGTCAAAGATCCCCCTCCACCACGGTGCCGAAGGTTTCCGTTTAAAGCAGCCCCACAAGCGCACTTGCGGTCACTGCAACCCTGAACCAGAAACCGCGGAGGCTGGGACGTTTCTTAGCATTCTCCGCTCCTTCATGGGGTCTTTTGCGTTTGCATTTGGATCGGCAACATGGGCAATGTTAGCCCCATATTAATCCAGTGGAGAGTCATCACTTTTGGAGGGGGATGCCCTCCTATTCATAAACTGGGGTTGGTTATATGGGGTCAACATTTTGGGTCCTTATGGTCCATTCTGGCTTCCTCCCTACGATTTCTCGAGGCTGTCCTTTCCATGAGCCCAGGACGATGCTGGAACTTGGCGCGACTTTGCGGAGCAGTGCCAGGCTGGTGCGAGCGTTTTCCCTTTTAGTTTTTAGGGCGGGGGGGGTGCCCTACAGAGCCATGGGATTTGAGTGTGATTACTTATTTTTGGTCTTTCCTGTGTTTTTGTTGGGGGGGTGAGAAAGCGTGGTGGAAGCACGCCGTTCAATTTGAACTCCGGCGGTTCGTTTTTTCCGGTGCACGGCTGGGCCAACAGGCATCCACGTTGGCCCGGCTTCGGGTGGAATTGAATGCAGGGCGACTGCCAAACAGCTTGGTTTTCGGATGGCGCAAGGCATTGATCGCACATTGGCTGCTGCGATTCGTGTGCCACATTCACGTCTTTTTAGGAAGCCCAGGGCCGTTTCTCCCACTTGCGGCAGGCGCAGATGGAAGCGGCTCCTTGGACGCAGATATTTTTTGGAAAGCATTTTTTGAGACCTAGTGGGGTCGTGAGGCTTGATTCTGGTGGTTGGTGCTGGTGCACCACCTGTCTTTTGCCTGGGGGTTGGAAGGGGCCAAGGGCAATTGTCCGTGCGCTCAGCTTTTGCCTTTGGGTGGTTTCCAGCTTCATTTCTTCTGGGTTCCCTATGTTTCTCCTTTGGGTTGATGTTGCAAAAGGGGGTTTCCTTTTGGCGGGTGCTGTTTGAGGACGCCAATGGAGGTCAGCCTGCACCAACGGGGTGGGGTCTGGGGGAGCCAGCTACTGCTCCAGCCACTATGCAAATGCGGCCCCGGCATGCAGAGAAACTTTGGGTGTGAGCAAAAGGCCAGCGTAGTCCCAGGAGCAGAGACCAAAGCATATGAAAGTCCTTGAAGGGCATTGCGCACTCCTACCCCAACTAGAACCCCAGTTCTCACCTAGTTGCTACACTTGGGTGAAAGTGGGTGGTCTCACTCTCTGAGTTCCTGGACTTGAGACGTTTTTGGGAAGATGTTGGTGGAAACAGCAAGTTTGAGCTTGACTTTGGCCATCCACTCAGGAAGTCCGTGGAACAATCCCGAGACACCGAGGCCCACCAGCGCCGCGAACGGAGCCGGGGCCCGAGCGAGAGAGTGGGGTTCGCCCGCCAGCGACAGGACCCGGTCCCCGGTGAAAACACGAAACGCCCTTTATCTTCTATTTGCTTAAGAACATGTTTTTCCCTTTTCGTATTTAAAGGGAATCTATCACTACTGGAATACGTCATTTTTTTCAGCGAACTCTGCAATAAATAGAAGTTATGTCCGGCAGCTTGCCAGGGAGAAATGCGGAAACGGTTGTTGGGGTTGCCCCGCCGAAAAGATTAATCAAGAGCGGTTGCCCCGCACGACGTCGTGGGCTTTCGGCCGTCTTGGGGCCTCGAACCCCTCGAGACTGTAGGGCTTCCGAGGCACCCTTTCTGAGGTATAGGATTAGGGACACCAAAAGGATACGCATGGAAAACCAGGGACTAACACGTGTTTTTGGGGGGACACCTATGTTGAGACAAACCCAAATGAATGTTTTTTGGGAGTTCCACGTGACCGTCAGAGGTTTTGCAGACCGTGCCTTTGAGGCATCGAGCTGGAGATCCCTCCCTTCGGCACCTTCCGAATGGCCCTTCGGCGACAAAAGGCGGAGAGTTGGCGGCAGCAAGCAGAGCGCAGTTTACGGGGGGGGGGGGTCAATAAGGCTCCTTAGGTTTTGGGGGGTTGGGGGGGGGGGACCAAAGGCGAGGGGGTGTGAAGCAAGAAGAGCCGTGTGCACATTTGTTTGAAGGGGTGCGCTTGCTTCTTTGGCTGCCATGCACCATTCAGGTGCGCTTGCGGGTTCATACAAGCTCAGAAGTCAGGGTCGGGGTGTGTTTGCCCCTTGTCACTGAGCCAAGGCGATCCCTGGAAGAAAGCAAAGATTGTTCGCAGGCCATGAGCGGCTCTCATCAACCTTTTGGTTTCGTCCCCTATTTAGTCAGAATTCCTAGCTGGGGTTGTGGGATCCAGGGGTCTATCCCCACTTCTGTGATATCTTCGGGATGTTCCCCTTATATGGGGGGTTAGTCTTTGTTTGAAGCCCCTTTCGTTCGCAGAAGTGGGTTCCATGTCCAGCCCTGTTCCAAAAGGTTCATCTTTCGGGGTCTTTTTCTGTTTGGCGCCTGAGATGTTAAGGACCTGCAGAAGCTTACGCAGAGCACGGTGCGTGGCCGGAACCCTGGCTACGAGCCGGGGCCCTGGAGGAATACCTGTGGTCCCCTCACCTCGGGTTCCTGGACTTTTCAACCGAATTCGGGAAGACGATTCTCCATGGCTGGTAGCGGATGGTAGCGGATCCTTAGACTTTCACTTCCTGATTGAAATGATGGATTCTCCGAATTGGGCCCACAAAAAGTTAGACTTTTGCAGAGGGGTCAACAGCAGCCAAGGAGTTTAGTGGTAAACATGAACCGATCTTTGCTCAAGCCACTCAGAGCATCTCTAAACAGGAGAGCCTTGTAGCGCCCTTCGGATGAGAACAAAACAAAACCAAAAGCAACAACAAAGGGGTGCCGGTGTAGGGCACCAGAGTCAATCCGAGTCGGGTCGTTGCCACGAAGCCTCTTTGGCTCCCTTTAGTCAGCTTCCAAGATGCAGTGGAGGGTAATTGGGTGCTCGGCCAAGTTGGTAAGTGGTTAGTAACCTGGGTTATAACTTACTTACAACCGGCCAACTCACTCATAAGTAGGTTATACCCCAGGTGGCTAACCACTTGGCAAAGCGAACATCCAAGTACTCTTGGCCTTTTCGGTTTTGCATAATTTCCCCCCAGCCAAAAAAGTGAAATGTGTCACTTTTTGCCTTTGGGTTGGATCCGTTGGGCCCAGCTTCCAAAATGGGGGGGCTGAGGGGGTCTCGAAGATTTGGTTTTCCTTGGATTCATGTTAGTGATCATGATATTTTCCTCGTTTTTCCCAGTGCCCTTGACGAGTGCTGTTCTTTGGTAGCAGCAGCCCGTCCAGGACGCAGGCATCTTCCAACAGCCTTCCCTTTTCTTCTGCATTGCACTGTGCCAGTTTCGAACAACCAATGCACTATACTTTAAGGGGCGCAGTAATGACAAATTGTTTGCCAAAGTAACCATGATGAAATGTGGCTTCAAAGTACCCCACTCCCATGATTCAAGTCCTGGCTCAAGTGTTCTAAGCCTCTTCCAATTTTCATTCTGCAGTCGCTCTGGTGAATGCCAATGCATGGGCCCCATATACTTGGTCGGATTTGTGTTTGACTGCCAGATTTGTTGAAGAGTTGTTTCCTTGCCCAACATGTGCCATGTGTATTCTTTCTTTCACCGCAACCTACTTGGTTCCATCGTGAGTGCGCAACACTGTGGCCTATGGCGGGTAGGTCTCAGGGAAAGGTGGGGGGGGGCGCATGTGGCTTCGCGCAAGTCACAAGTTGTGCCCTGGTGCTTGTCCACATGGAGGCAGTGGGTTGATTCCTTTGTTAATTTTGCAACTTGGGGAGCTTCCCTTTAATTAACTGCCAACAAAAAAGGGGCCCTGCCACCGAGCTTAGCCTGGGTCTCCGGGTGTTTCCAACATTTTTCAAGCACCCAGTGTTTTTCTGAAGGAATCAGCGTGGCACCGTGTTGGCCCAGTGTTGGCTTGGACATTGCAGTGCTTGTCAAATGCAACCAAGCGATTTACATGTGAAGGTTGTCACTGAGTCAGGTTTGAAACAATGAGCACGCTTCAGCAGTATGCCTGTGCAACTGCAGTTGCTCAGCAGCACCTGGCAGTGTCTCAAAATTGACACGCAATGGCATTTCGACTCGGCCAAAAAACGACATATTGCTTGGGCAAGGGCGACCTTCGGATTTCCGGGCGTCCACCCGGTTGTTAGGCGAGAAATCCGGCGACAAGTCCGGAAGATCGAGCTTGGCCCGGGCCTTCGTCTTGCGTGGTCGCCGGTCGCGTTGGTAGATAGCACAAGTTCCAAATTTATGGGTTGACTCATCCCCTTTTCCGCTAAACTTCGGACTTCGGATATTTGTGGGTATGCTCAAAGGTGGGAGCCAGATGAGCCAGAGCAGAGGTGTCGCCAACAGCTTGCGCATCCCCTTTACTGACCTGCACAAAGAATAGTTGTGCCGTCTACTTTCACGCTGGTGTAGGGAGCTTGGCACTTTGCCTCCCCCAGCCTTTAGCATAGGATTGCGACGATCGGGCGAATTTGCTATGGGCCAGAGCCAATCCAATCTTTGAGATGGGGCCTTGAGCTCCCAACAAATCCGAGCATCCAAGCCAAGCCACTGGACACACACACACACATACACACACTTCACACACACACACACTTGCACAATCTTGAACACACACACACACTTACACACACACACACACACGCACACTTACACACTCACACACACGCACACACACACGCACACTTACACACACACACACTTACACACACAAACTTACACACACACTTACACACACACACACACTTACACACACACACACTTACACACATACACACATACACATACACATGCATACACACACACACTTACACACACACACACTTACACACACACACACACACTTACACACACACACTTAGACACACACACACACACGGACACACACACACACATACACACTTACACGCACACACACAGACACGCTTACACACACACACACACACGCACTTAGACACACTTACGCATGCACACGCACACACTTACACACATACGCACTTACACATGCACATGCGCACACACAGCCATGCATACACACACACACACACACACGCACTTACACACACACACTTACACACACATACGCACTTACACATACACAAGCACACACACACACGCACTTACACACACACACACACACGCTTACACACACACACACTTACACACACACACACTTACACACACTTACACAAACGCACACGCTTAAACACACACACACACACACACTTCACACACACACACACACACTTGCACAATCTTGCACACACACACGCACTTACACACACACACTTACACACACATACGCACTTACACATACACAAGCACACACACACACACTTCCACATACACACACACTTACACACACACACTTACACACACACTTACACACACACTTACACACACATACACACATACACATACACATGCACACACACACACACTTACATACACACACACAAACACACACACAAACACACACACACACTTAGACACACAGACGCACACACACATACACACTTACACGCAGACACACACACACACACGCTTGCACACACACACACACTCACTTACACACACTTACGCATGCACACACACTTACACACATACGCACTTACACATGCACATGCGCACACACAAATGCATACACGCACGCGCACTTACACACAATTACGCACTTACACATACACAAGCACACACACACACGCTTACACACACACACACACTTACACACACTTACACACACACATACACGCTTAAACATACACACACCCTTACACACACATACGCACTTACACATACACACACTTACACATACACATTCACGCATAGACATGCACACACACACTTACCCACTTACACACACACACACTTACACACACACACTTACACATACGCACACGCTTACACACACTTGCAAACACACACGCGCACACACGTACACATACACACTTACACATACACCTGCACACACACACACTTACACACACACACACTTACACACTTACACACACACACTTACACACACACACGAACACTTACACACACATGCACACTTACACTTACACATGCAGACTCACTTACACACACATGACACACAGATTACACACACACACTTACACACACATACGCACTTACACATGCACATGCGCACACACACACGCACATGCACACACACACACACACACACGCACTTACACACACACACACTTACACACACTTGCACACTTACGCACACACTTACACACACACACTTACACACTTACACACACACACTTACACACACACACACACACTTACACACACACTGACACACACACACACTTACTCACACACTTACACACACATACACACACACACTTACACACACGTACACACACAAACACAAACACACACACGCAAACACAAACATTCATAAACACACACGCACACAAGCACAGAAGCACACACGCACACAAACACACAAACACAGAAACACACAATCACACAGACACACAGACACACAGACACACAGACACACAAACCCACAAACAGACAAACACACAAACACACAAACACACACAAACACACAAACAAAACACACAAGCACACAAACACACAAACACACAAACACACACAAACAAACACACACACAAACAAACACACACAAACAATCACAAACACACAAACACACAAACACACAAACACACGCACAAACACACAAACACACAAACACGCACAAACACACAAGCACACACAAACACACAAAAACATGCAAAAACACGCAAACACACTCAAACACACGCAAAAACACGCAGACACACGCAACAAGCACACACAAAAAAGAAGCACGCAACGCAACACGTACAAACAAAAACACACAAAAACACGCAAATACATGCAACAAATACGCAAAACAAAACACGCAAACACACGCAACAAACACACAAACAAAAACACGCAACACAACACGCACAAACAAACACACACACAAAAACACACCAAAACACAAACACACAAACACACACACACAGACACGCAAACACACGCAAGCACACACACACAGACACACAGACACACAGACACACAAACAAACAAACACACACAAACACACACACACACACTCATCCACCCACGCACGCACGCACGCGCGCGCACGCACGCACGCACGCACGCGCACGCGCACCCGCACCCGCACACGCACCCGCACACGCACACGCACACGCACACGCTCACACACACACGCACACGCACACACGCAGAAACACACAAACACACAAACACACAAACACATAAACACACAAACACACACACACCACCTGCTGACTCCCTTGGCACAATTGAGCCAGCCTTGCGAACCGCCAGTTTCTCAGTTCAAGATCAATGAGTCAGTTGGCACCGCGAGAACGGGGAGGTTTGAGCAGGGACTCCCGCCTGCACCGTGTTTTGGGTCGGGATTGTCCAGCACCCCATCTTGAGCAACCCAGTATAGTTGGGATATGGAGTTCCCTTTGAGACATAGATGTTCAATGTTCAGCTGAATTTTGTTTGGGAGGGAATGGTAAGGACAAGCATGGTGCCGTGCTCAAGGGGGTTGCACTCAGGCTACTTCCTGCTGGGCTACGAGGGCGAGATCTGCGCCTCTGACTCCTTGGTGGATTGTATGGAGGCGGCCCGCCAAAGCAAGAGTGGAAGGGTTTCAGAAGGCAAAATGACTCATTTATCGAGTTTTTGCACTTGAAACTTTTTGGTTGTTTGCCGGGATTCTCCATGTTGATCCCCTCCTAGTTTAAGTGCCCCTGATGGCCTAGGAGAGGGTTGGCCCAAGTAAGTTCTTGTGGCTAGGGTTGATGGATCCTAATGTCCGCTGTCAGGACATTGAGGTCCTGGAGAAGCTCGCGAAGGCTCATGGGAGCAAAACCAAAACTAGGTGTCCTTTTTGGTTTGGGTAGAAATAGATGGGTTCTACTGGTTTAGATTGGTGTCATTCAGCTTAGTTTGCTTAGAAATCGATGGGTTCCAGTGAAACACAACTATCTTACCAAAAGGTCACCTATGCACCCATATCCGAATGTGAGGTATGTTTGGGAGCGGAAATGGGCAAGGGCAGCAAATGATGCCAAGCGCTCCAAAGCAGGCGTTCCAGCGCAAGTGTATGCATTCTCATGCATTCTCATGCAGCGCGGAGATCCATACAACAAACAGTGCTACAGTGGATGCCCTAAATGATGCATTCAAACCAACCACACTAACCCACAACACAATGGTAGGTTGCGGAACATTAGGGGTTTCCTTGTTCCAGTACTTGCGATATTTGGGATCCACCGTGGCTGCTAGCAAAACATTGGCTCAGTATTGGTGATCGTGTGGGGCTTGCGGAGAGTCAATCCTGAGGAACGGCAGTTTTCGTGGCAAATCAGTTTCTGAGTAGGACATACGCCCAGCGAAAGGACCTTGGGAGCAGGCCTTTTGCAAATCGGGCTTTGTCTCCAAGGGGCTTCCCCGCAAAATGGTCAATGTTCCTTCTGATGTACCCACCCCAAAAAGGATATCCTCAACATATACAGCATACACACACCAAGAGTTGATTAGCAAGTGTTCATGCAAGCGTGCCTGCACGTGGCCGCTCTGAAATTTCAGCACGTGGATGCTTGGAGTTTGAACCGCCAGGTCTTGAGGAGAATTTCCGAAGAGCCCGAAGAGTTCACCTTCCGGAGCCTGAACTTAGTGGATGACGAGCCGGGACGCCCGGGTTTGTGTGGGATTGGGGTAGAGAGGGAGGAGGCTGATGGGTCTGTGATTTCGGACATGGGCAGCGGTTGTTGCTGGAAGCGCTGCAGTGTGTGCAAAGCCACCGCGAGGTTCAGGGACAATCTCGGCTCCAATGAAGAAGCCCAGCAATTCCTGGAGGAATTGGGCTGCGCTGGCAGATTGGGGTTCGCCATGGCTCTTGCATAGTGAGGAAAACCTCCCTGTGCTCCACAATGCTCGTTTTTTTGGCGCCGAGGTGAACTTAAACCAGGGACGTCAGCCACCTGTGGTTCTAAGTCTTCGGGCAGATCAAACAAATGGGCGTATGTTAACATGGCAACCCAAGAGGTGGTTTTCCTTGGGTTTCCTTTCAAACCAGACCACAAGAATTGTCCAAGCCTCCAACAAATACGGCGCCAGGTTTCGAGCTGATTGAGGAGGAGCCGCAGCAGTGGCCTTATGCAGTACTTCTTCCGGAAATTGCCAGGTGGCAGCGTCTTCTTTTCAGGATACCTGATTTGGGTTGGTTTAAAGGGACGCAAAAAGGACACCCATGGACACCCCCTAAACCAAAGATGGCATTGTAAGGTGTTGCGTTGCTCAAGGCCGAGGGGTACACGATGATAACTCCCAGCCCCTTAGGGAGCTGCTCATGCCATGAGTCATGGCCTCCGCCTTTGTCACGGGAAACTCCCACTGCGGTTTGGGGGATGATCCCCCTATTTTGAGACAACCACATCTTTTTACGACATATCCAAACAGCATGAATAGGTACGGCCGCCCTTTTAGTTCTTTTCATGGACTTGGGCAGACCATTTGATTGCCAGGTGTGGATTGTGACTCACCTGGATTCTTGTGGGAGCCAACCCTGCAATACCTCCGTTAAAGCTGTTACCACTGAAATTGGCAGAGTTTTCCTGCGACTTAGGCAGTTCCTGGTCTACATGCAGGAGCAGGCCGTGCCCGGCGAAATGCCACGAACTTTTGGTAACTATCCCCCTTGTATGAGGGCGAGAAAGCGGGCTGGGAAGATGCTCAAACGTGCGGATTTTGTGAAATGCCAAACCCAGATCAGCCTTGGATTCTCGGATGCTATTTGGTTGGTCCATTGAACCTTCAGCTTTTGGGGGAAAAACGTGTTTTGTCAAGCACCTGCAACAAATGGTCAAGTTCTTCAAAGGCAGTGGTCACCGATGCCTTTTTCGGAATCATGTGCTGTCCACTGAATATGTGCCGTTTGTCTCACTCCCTGAGTTCCTGGACTTGTAGCAGGCAACAAGTCTGGACTTTCTTTTGGCCATCCACTCGGGAAGTGCGTGGTTGGGGTGGCGGGGGGGGGGGGGTGAGGCCCACTGCCGGGGGTACCCATCCCAGAAGGGAACTGGTACCCTGTGGTAGTGGAGGTCGTTTATGTGGTCCCTGGATCTATTCCGGAGAGAGTCCAATATGCCAATATGGATGATTGGAGGATGGATTGTCCCTGGTGGATTGTATTGTTGTATAATCCTGCAAGCGGCCTGCAAAGGTTCCTTTGTCACGCAATCATGAGTATTGCTATGGTACAGAAGGGCCTTGAGCCAAATGGTTGCGGGCGATCAACATTGGTCAAAAACAGACAAAAACTGACACAGATTTCTTTTGATCGCCGGCACTAGATATGAAATATCTTTGGCTTCTTGGCCTTTGGCCGTAGCCTGGATTTATGCCGTAGCCCTGTGTATTGAAATTCTGGATGCCCCACTGCTGCGTGCTGTATTCCTTATACTCTTGCTGAGTCCAGGGTTGCTTTTTCTTGAAGTACTCCTTGGATCGCTCAAAGTTTCGCTGCTTGGTGGCAGATCTGCTGCGGATGTAGACCATCAGCGGACTGTGTGAATCGGAATCTTGAGAGCCATTCATGCACATCTCGTTGCTCACGTGCTTGAAACGTTCCGCGGATGAGACCTGATAGTCGAAAATGGCAGTCGTAGGATCGTTCCGCATGGTGTCCAGTTGATCGTCTTTCATTGCGTCCATCTCTTCCTTCCGGAAATCCTGCTGGATGTTTGTCTTGCCCCATCCAAATACGAAAGTCATCATGACATCTGGGAATGTTCGATCAAACCCGGATCCAGTCTTCATGTAGAGGTGATGACGGACGATGGATTTGGTGCAGGAAGTCTCCATTGCATCTTCCATTCTGTCCACGAGTGGCAAGTTCTCCGTTTCATTCCACAATCTCTGGTATGCCTTCATGAGGATATTCATGAGACCGTTGGCCGGATTGTAGACCTGTTGGAGTTTGCTGTAGGTGTTCGCGGACTTGTTGGCGTCTCCGGTGATCGCATCGCATTGATGCAATGTCACGAGCGGCATGATTTCGGTTTGAAACTCGTCCCGTGCTGCTCCATGGCTGATTGATGGATGGATGTGAAAATCTCCAATGGTAGCATATGGGAGGTCTGCCCTCGTCACATGGCGGCTGTCGAACTCGAGGAGTGAATCATTGGATGACTTTGGAAACACGCCACGAAATTCATCACTTTGCTCGATGTGGATGACGACAATTTCCTTGTTGCGCCCATGTCCTTGGACAAGTGTGCGTGGCGGCAAGGTCGGGATGTCGTATTCGGATGTATTCGGCATCAGTGCAATGGTTCTCGGTTCCGAAGAAGCATCTGAACATACCAAATGTAGTTCCCCAGTTTTGACTCTTTGTGGAAATGTGTCGTGCCAATAGTTCCACTCTTGCGGAAGGTCCGCCGCGGACAAAGCGTGCGATTGGTTTGGATGACCATTGCTTGATAATTATGCCCTTGTATCCAAACCGGACGAACGTCTTGATGAGGTCCTTGGATTTCTCATCTTGAGGACTGAGGAATGCGTCTGCTTCATTTAGGCATATGATGTGCGCGCTGTTCTGCATCATCATCCTCGTGATTGGTCGATCCTTCATCGCCATGTTATTCACCTCCTTGTTGTCCAGCTTTGGGTTTCTCGTAAGGTTTCCGTGGTTCATGGTGAGCATGTTGATCGTTATGGATGAGGTGAACTCATGTGCCTTGAGATGGTCCACAGGAGGACGGTCAGTTGGTTGCATCAACGATCCCAGGATGTCAGCAAATGCCTGCTTTGTCATATGTCCTGAGCTTCTTCAATCTAAATGGAAGCTTGATCGGATATCCTGATGCTGGCTGTGCCTTCCTGAACTCTTCCATGGATGGCCATTCTCCTCGGTGGTCGAAATAGAATTCTTCTTCCTCAAGGTTGACATCTGGATCGACATGTGCCAATGAAGCTCGCTCGCATTCTGTCAATTCGGGATGAGCTCTCTGTGGATCCCTGTCGGTCTCCTTGAGCTCTTCCTCGGCGTCCTTCTTGGTCATGTCCATTTCAAGGTATGTCACCTTGAATTCCTTGATGAACTCTTCTAGGTTCTCGGGATTGTGATACTCCATGGTGACCTTCGGCTTGACGGATCTCTCCCCGGAGGGTTGCATGTTCTCCTCTCATCATTTCCGTCCTGATCGGTGGAGTGCCGTCGCTTCTTGGTCTCTGTGGATGTATCTTTTTCGGTTTTTTCCTTGCTTTGTTGGTCGGTATTCACATGGGAGTCGATCTAAATCGACGGAACTAGGTTTTGTGTACGGGAGACCTAGTGGATATACAAGGTGTTGCCACACTGTGGTCGCGAAAGAGGGCGTAAGGGCGAGCGAAAGGGAAAGCGGTCGGTGTTATGCACAATGGTTTTGAGGGCCTCAAATGGCTCCAAAATGTTATTTTGGGCTTGCGCAAAACAATTTTCAGACCAGTTTGAAGCATTTTCGGCATGCTGGGTTTGGAATCTGTAGGTTTTTGATCCGATTAGGATCCTTTAGTCACCAGGGCCTAAGGTCCCCCTCCAAAGGTCCCCCCCACAAAGGTTAAGGCAAGTCTTGGAGCAGACTCTGGAATAATAATGCTGAATGCTATGGAATGCTGACATTGGCCCGCAGAATCCGCAGAAGTTATTTTCACCGGCTGGAAAACGAGTTCCGGGACAAAATCCGCAGAAGTTGTTTTCACCGGCTGGAAAACGATTTCGGGGACAGAATCCGCAGAAGTTATTTTCACCGGCTGGAAAATGACTTCGGGGACACCCATCAAAAGCTCCTTATAAAGATCCTTATAAAGCACTTTATAAAGCTTGTCAATTAAGCTCCTTACGCAGCTCCTTACAAACCTCCTTACAAAGCTCCTCCTTACAAAGCTCCTTATAAAGCTCTTCATTGAGATCTTCTTTATAAGGCTCCTCATAAAGCTTTTTATATCATTGGCCCGCAGAATCCGCGGAAGTTATTTTCACCGGCTGGAAAACAAGTTCCGGGACAATATCCGCACAAGTTGTTTTCACCGGCTGGAAAACGAGTTCCGGGACAAAATCCGCAGAAGTTATTTTCACCGGCTGGAAAACGATTTCGGGGACACCCATCAAAAGCTCCTTATAAAGCACTTTACAAAGCTTGTCAATTAAGCTCCTTATAAAGCTCCTTACAAAGCTCCTCCTTGCAAAGCTCCTTATAAAGCTCTTCATTGAGATCTTCTTTATAAGGCTCCTTATAAAGCTTTTTAAAACATTACCCGCAGAATCCGCAGAAGTTATTTTCACCGGCTGGAAAACGAGTTCCGGGACCGAATCCGCAGAAGTTATTTTCACCGGCTGCGGAACGATTTCGGGACAGAATCCGCAGAAGTTCTTTTCACCGGCTGGAAAACGATTTTCGGGACACCCATCAAAAGCTCCTTATAAAGCTCCGTATAAAGCACTTTATAAAGCTTGTCAATTAAGCTCCTTATAAAGCTCCTCACAGACCTCCTTATAAAGCTTTTTATAACATTGGCCCGCAGAATCCGCAGAAGTTATTTTCACCGGCTGGAAAACGAGTTCCGAGACAAATCCAGAAATTGTATTTTCACCGGGGACAGAATGCGCAGAAGTTATTTTCACCGGCTGGAAAACGATTTCGGGGACACCCATCAAAAGCTCCTTATAAAGCTCCTTATAAAGCACTTTATTCAGCTTGTCAATTAAGCTCCTTATACAGCTCCTTACAAACCTCCCTACAAAGCTCCTCCTTACAAAGCTGCTCTTCATTGAGATCTTCTTTATAAGGCTCCTTATAAAGCTTTTTATAACATTGGCCCGCAGAATCCGCAGAAGTTATTTTCACCGGCTGGAAAACGAGTTCCGGGACAAAATCCGCACAAGTTGTTTTCACCGGCTGGAAAACGATTTCGGGGACAGAATCCGCAGAAGTTATTTTCACCGGCTGGAAAACGATTTCGGGGACACCCATCAAAAGCTCCTTATAAAGATCCTTGTAAAGCACTTTATAAAGCTTATCAATTAAGCTTTTTTTGCAGCTCCTTACAAACCTCCTTACAAAGCTCCTCCTTACAAAGCTCCTTATAAAGCTCTTCATTGGTCTTCTTTATAAGGCTCCTCATAAAGCTTTTTATAACATTGGGCCGCAGAATGCGCAGAAGTTATTTTCACCGGCTGGAAAACGAGTTCCTGGACAATATCCGCAGAAGTTATTTTCATCGGCTGGAAAACGATTTCGGGACGGAATCCACAGAAGTTATTTTCACCGGCTGGAAAACGAGTTCGGGGACAGAATCCCCAGATGTTATTTTCACCGTCTGGAAAACGAGTTCCGGGACAGAATCCCCAGAAGTAATTTTCATCGTCTGGAAAACGATTATCAAAAGCTCCTTATAAAGCACTTTAAAAAGCTCCTTGCAAAGCTCCTTCCAAAGCTCCTTATATAAAACTCCTTGTAAAGCTCCTTATGAAACTCCTTATAAAGCTTGAAGCTCCTTATAAAGCTCCTCACAAACCCCCTTACAAAGCTCCTCCTTACAAAGCTCCGTAAAAAGCTCTCTAAGGCTCCTTGTAAAGTTTTTTATAACATTGGCCCGCAGAATCCGTAGAAGT